GTTTCGCTACCGACCCAAGAATAGGATCGAACTAGCGGTAGTCCACACGAAGCTAACCCCAAGGAACTAAAGAGGGATTTGCTAGATCCTCTTTAGCCTTAAGAACCAAGAATAAGAATCAAGTGTTATTTGATTCAACCCAAAAGCAATATGGCGTGGGAAGAAGAGAAAGGGGGCTGGAGTTTTTAATTAAATGTCAATGATTGAATTGTTATTTAATTTACAAAGTGTTGCACTTATATAGTGCACACTTTGCCCTATTCCATCATAGAATAGGCTTGGGCTCCAACCCCAACACCCCGTGTGTCCAAACATCCCATTTAAGATATTTTGTAATTTTAATTTATCATTATCTCAATTAATATATATTTACAATATATATATTATATTTTAACAACAACGATAATTTATTTAAATATATGCGAACACATATTTAAATGTAATCTCACCTATTTAATTCTAGTATCAAATTAAATAAAGGCTATGACCTCAACAAATTTAATTGCACTGTGAGATTACGAAAATACCCTTTGGCCTAAAAAGACAAAAACGCCCTTTTTATAAACTGATTCTTAATTTATTTTCTATGTGTGTGATTCATAGGCTCCTTATCATACTGATAGTGTGTAGTATCACGATTAATACCAATTAATCATCTCACTATACACAGACCAAGATTGGCCCCTAGAAAGGCATCGTAGCCACCCGGTAGATTCGGATTCAGCGAAGCAACTACCTGTCAACAATATGGTTACATTACAGTCCAATCATTTCATCATCTGTTATCTCAACGAGACCAAGGCATAGAAATAATGTCAACCTCAGTTACTCTCGATATGTATGTATTTAGTTACTGGACCAATGACCTGAATTATAAACTAGATCGAGTAACAACTCAATCCCACCGTGGCCACAATTTTAGTGTCATTGCCATTTACTGAATTACGCCACTGTTAGAGTCATGAAAGTGACTCTATTTTGGTGATAAAAGGACCCTATGTGTCATTAAAATGAAATCATATTGAGATAATCAAATAATTTATGAATTTATTCACAAAAATCGCATCCTAATATTTTTCTTATGAATTTAACATGTTTGGAATGATTTTGGAAATTGTATGAATTGATATTAGGTTGTGGTTTATTGATTAGAGTTATTTTTTTCTCATTTATGCCATTCAGGGGTCAAATTGTTATTAAACTTGGGGTTGATTTTGTCACTTTTCAATCATGTAGGGACCAAAGTGATATTTTTCACTTTATGTATAAAAAGAACGCGAAGGATCGTGAACGAGGAGCCTTGTTCATCCATTTTTCTGGCGACTGTTTGTTTTCTTTTCCGACGTACTCCGGCGACGCTCCGCCTTCCATTTACACCGATCATCATCATCTCGTCGACACCACCGTGAGACATGTTTCACCGCTGCGACCTTTCGCATTCCAGCCGTGATTTCACCATTTTTCGGTTAACTCTGACAATGGTTGGGCTCCATGGTGGTCAATCTAGCTTCCCCACAGCCAGATCTATCCATTCCAAGCTTATCTGCGTCGAAACCACCGGAATCCGCCATCACCGCTGTCACGCCTCTTCACCTTCTAGCTGTGATCTCTCTCATTTCTGGCGACCTTTCATCTTCCCATGACCTGATCTAAACTCCCCATCACCAGATCTCATTTCCATCACCATTTTCCGGAAGACCCGCAGGAAAACTAACGTTTTTCGGCGAGTGTGACTGTTCATATTCTGGGCTATCTGTTGGTCATTTTCACCCCTTCTTCACATCATATCACTGTCGGTTACTTCCTCTCCACCATGATCAGCTTCGTTTCCACTGTTCCAGCCTCCATCAACACCACCATGAGTGGCTGAGTTTCCGGTTGTCTGTTACAGCGTAGGCAAGATCGAGATTGACTCTACTGCTCTTCTCATCAGCTCTCAACTAGTTGGATGAGCCTGATTGTAGGACATTTGGTAGTATTGTGTTTCAAATTATATTTGTTTTCATTTCATGTTTGATTTCGATACTTTAATATGGTTTGAGCATAATTTGTGATGAATATAGTTATCCATTGTGATTTAATGTTTTCATAAAACTGGCTCAATGATGAACGTTGTTTGAGATAATTAAATGATGAATATTCTTTTCATTACTTCGCATCGATTGTAATTGAGTTGTGTTCAGATTTAATTTCATTTCTACTATTGTTGCGTTTATTGTGAAGTTGGTTGATGGGAAGATACGTGTTGACAAATTGTATTTGTTAATCGCGTACCAACTAGTGGTATTGTATTGTAGCGTTTATTGGCATTCAATGATAGTCTTTAACCAATCAAATTTGAGTGATCGGGTGAGACATGATAGATTATACCTAGAGTGCTGGAAAGCCATTTCATTGATTTACCTTGCCTTGTAGGTTTAGGGGATTGTAGAGGGTGGAGGAGAATTGTGTGAATTGGTCTGGTGTCGAACCAAAATCGTAGCGACAACGTTTTTATTATAAAGTCTTCATTAGTTTTAATTTCACACTTTTATTATTTGCATTCAATTTGTTTAGTTTAATTAATCAAAATTACCAATTTCATTTCCGCTACTCAAATATACATTAGGTTGTTAGTCTTGCTCTTTGTGGATTCGACCCTGCTTACCATTAACTATGGTATTTAGGTTTAATTTTGTGACTATGACGACTGGTTCAACAAAATTTTAGCGTCGTTGCCGAGGAGCAATGTGCTTTTGACTTTGTGTGTTTGGGTAGTCATTAGTTTTTATTCTAGGTTTATTTTAGTTGTTGTTTTTGTTTGTGTTATTTTCTTTGTAGTGATTATTTGTTTGGGTGAATTGTTTAATTTTTGTGTTTCGTTTAGTTTGTCTCTTTGCATTTTTAGTTAATTATTTTCTTTTTAGGTTGTAGGCGTAATTTCATTTTTACTTTGTTTTATTTCATTTTCATTGGAATAGTTTCATTTTTGTTTGTTTTTGTTTTGATTAATTAGTCATAGCTTTTGCCTTATTTTGCATAATTTGTTTTTATTCCTAGGATTTAATTTTTGTTCTTAGTATTAATTTCTTTTAGGTTGCATTGATAACTTTGGTTTTGATTAAGCGTATTTGTTGTGTGAAATTTTGTTAGGTATAGTTTTATTAGATTTTAGATTTGTTTTAGTTTTGTTTCGTGTGCTTATTAAAATTTGTTTCTTAGGATTTGCATTTAGCTAATTTTCTTTGAGATTGTTGTTGCATTGCTTGTTGAGCCTTTTATGTGTTTGATTGATGAATGCAAACTAGAAGGTCTTGTAACGAAGAGTTATTATCTTTGAATCTTGAAATTGAACGCACTTGTAAGAGGAATAGAAAACAAGCACGTAGGATGGTTGACCAGGATAAGCCCGTACATGTGCCGCTTAGCTAACATTTCATACCCACCACCTACACTTTAGCCTCATGTATCCGTATCCCCAATGTTATAACACAACACTATAAAATCAAAACTAGTGTCATCCAATTGCTGCCAATTTATTATGGGAATTTAAATGAGGAGCCATATAAACACTTAGATGAATTTTTAGAGGTTTGCTTCATATTTAGACTTTAATATGTGAATTAAGATGTTTTGCGCTTAATTTTATTCCCATTCTCACTTAAGGATCGAGCCAAACAGTGGCTCAATTCTTTGGCAGTAGGGTCCATGATCTCTTGGGCCCAAAGGCAACAAGGATTCCTAAAAAAGTATTATCCCATTGGTAAAACCAACAGCATAAAACGAGTCATCACTAGTTCCACTCAACTAGATGGCGGGGAATTTTATGAGAGTTGGGAACATTTGAAGGAAATACTTAGGAAGTGTCCCCGTCATGTAGTCCTTAGGTGGCAATTAGTTCGTAGTTTTTATGACGGACTGACCGAGAGGCATAAGAATATGGTAGCAAGGACGAGAATGAGTTATGGCAACTCTTCGAGACCTTAAGTGAAAATTCAATGCACCACATTTCTTTTTTTACGATGCCTATCTCAGGGCAGCCATCCAAGAAGGGTGGCGTGTATGAGGTGTCACGGTTAGATAACATTAGTTCCAAGCTAAAGGTGTTAGCCCACCGGTTTGACAGGTTTGTATCTATACAAGGGCAACCCTCTACACAATCATCTCAGAATAGGGCGAACCAGGATGTTTTTGCCATGCACTCCACTCTTGACCATCCAATTGAGGAACCCGCCCCTGCCCTTTTGAGGAGCAAGTGCAGGTTGCACAAGGCTTCCAGAGATGGAGCTATCCATACTCGAACACGTATAATCCTGGGTGGCGTAACCACCCTAATTTTTCATGGAAGCCACAACCACCTCAGAATGTCCCCAATAATATGTCATACAGGAACAATCCTTCTAATCAGCAAAGCAATTATAGGGAGCAACCTTCGATCCAACCACCTATCCAACCTAGGATCCCACCTCCCGTTTAGCTGCCTACTACAGTGTCTAGTTCACTAGAATCAATGATGGCTCAAATGCTCCAAACCATGCAGGAACAAAAAACGACATGAATGCTAGGTTCCAAGATTTAGAGCAGAATACCCAACTTCTACATTCTCATTCCCAACCCATTAGTAAGCTAAAGACCCAGATTGGTCAAATAGCCGAAGCAGTCAATAGGAGGGAACAAGGCCAATTGCCTAGTCAAGTCATAGGTAACCCTAGTGGTTCTTCTCAGCACAGAGGGTTTTCCAAACAAGCTAAGGCCGTGATGACTCTTCAGAGCGGCCGAGAGCTAATTAAGCCTGAGAGGGAAGTAAAAGTCTAGGGTAGAGAAGAGGAAAGTCTAGGTAGGGATCAAGCCAAAGAGAGTGAGAGTGAGCCACTTGTAGAGTCAAGTGTTCAAAGACCTGGTAAGGAGACAGTTGGGGAGAATGAACCATCCCTTGCATCATACATACAGAGAGCACCCTTTCCTCAGTGCTTAGAGCCCCTAAATGTTCCCACTATTAGGAAAAGCGCTAGGATAGAGGAATGATTGAGTTGTTTAAGCAGGTGCAGATTAACATTCCACTATTAGATGCCATCAAGCAAGTACCTGCTTATGCCAAATTCCTCAAAGACTTGTGCACGCAAAAGAGGCGAATGAAATCTCACACATCCAAGACTGTGCATTTACCAAAAAATATAAGTGCGATTATCTCGAACCACCTTCCCTCGAAGTTAAAGGATTTTGGAGCTCCTATTATTTCCTGTGTGATAGGTATTGTCACAATTGATAGAGCACTCTTAGACTTAGGGGCGAGCGTGAACTTATTACCCACTTCCATTTATGAGCAGTTTAACTTAGGTGAGCTCAAGTCTACTGAAGTCATCCTGCAGTTAGCTGACCGATCGGTCAAAATGCCTAGGGGCCTAATTGAGGACGTGTTATTTAAGGTTGAGGAACTATACTTCCCGATGGATTTTCTTGTCTTAGACATAGAGTATACGAGTAGTGGAAGTATGCCACTGATTATTTTAGGGAGACCTTTTCTAGCAACGGCAAATGCATGCATTAACTGTAGATCAGGAGAGATGGAAGTATCTTTTAGGAATAGGAAACTGAGACTTAATGTGTTTAATGCTGGTTTAGGACCAATTTGTGAGGACGATAACGAGTGTTTCATGGTTGATGCTATTGACAGTCTAATGGAGTCTAGTAGAGGCTCAGGCCCCACAGATGCTATATGATGATGCAATTTACACACTTATGAATCCATTTGTTGAGGAGATATGTAGCTTGAGTGTCGTGTCTGAGATTCAAGAGGTTAGTGCCTATATGGCCAGGTCGCCCACTCTAGAGCGTCGACACATCAAGTATAAACCCTTACCAACTTTGTCTAAGATGACACAACCAAGGTCGATTGAGTCTCCACCAATCTTAGAGTTGAAGGCCTTGCCTGATACTCTAAAATATGTTTTCCTAGGACCAACAAGACCTTTCCTGTGATCATTGCCACCAACTTAGATAGTGAGCAAGAGAAGAGATTAGTGGTGGTCTTAACAGCACATAAGGAAACAATTGGTTGGTCGGTAGCTGATTTGTGAGGGATTGGCCCTTCTTTGTGCATGCATCGTATATTTTGTGAAGAGAATGCTAAACCGATGCATGAAGCTCAAAGAAGGTTAAACCCGAACATGAAGGAGGTAGTAAAGAAAGGGGTGATCAAATGGCTTGATGCGGGTATCATTTACCCTATATCCGACAGCCAATGGGTGAGTCCGACCCATGTTGTACCTAAGAAGAGTGGCCTCACCATTGTTGAAAATGAAAAAGGTGAGCGAATTCCTACCCGTACTCCCACAAGATGGAGAGTTTGCATTGACTATAAGAAGCTCAACCTAGCCACTAGAAAGGATCATTTTTTGCTCTCATTTATTGATCAAATCCTAGAAAAATTTGCAGGCAGACTTTCTATTATTTTCTGGATGGCTATTCCGAATATAACCAAGTACCAGTTGCCCTCGAAGACCAAGAAAAGACCACGTTCACATGTCCTTTTGGTACGTTTGCCTTTCGTCGCATGTCCTTTGGGTTATACAATGCACCAACAATGTTTCAAAGGTGTATGTTATCGATATTTTCTGACATGGTATGTCAATTCCTTGAAGTCTTCATGGATGATTTTTATGTGTTTGATACATCTTTTGATGATTGGCTCGAAAAACTTGAGTTGGTGTTGAAACGATGTAAAGAGACAAATCTTGTTCTTAGTTGGAAAAAGAGCCATCTCATGGTTCAAGAGGGAATTGTCTTAGGTCATGTAGTTTCCAAGAAGGGGATAGCAAGGGATAAGGCAAAGGTAGAGTTGATTTCTCAACTGCCACCGCCTTCGTCGGTCAAACAAATTAGATCTTTCCTAGACCATGTAGGATTTAATAGTCGTTTCATCCAGAATTTTAGCAAGATCTCTAAGCCTTTGTGTGATTTGCTTGTTAAAGATGTGCCATTTGTTTTTTATGACTCTTATATGATTTCCTTTACCATTTTGAAGGAAGCGTTGACCACAGCACCCATTATGCAACCTCCTGATTGGAACCTACCTTTTGAAGTGATGTGTGACGCGTCGGACTATGCCATTGGTGTAGTCCTTGGCCAACGGGGGAATAAAATGCTTGTTATGATCTACTACACAAGCAAGACCCTCTCCGATACTCAATGTAATTACACCACTACAGAGAAAGAGTTGCTTGTAGTAGTGTTCTCCCTTGATAAGTTCCAGTCTTATCTTCTTGGGTCTAGGATAGTTGTCTTTACAGACCACGTTGCAATTAGGTATTTGTTAGACAAGAAAGACACTAAGCCTAGACTAATTCGATGGATTTTGTTGTTACAAGATTTTGATCTAGAAATCAAAGATAAAAAGGGTAGTGATAATGTGGTCGCCGATCACTTATCTAAACTCTTTATAGAGTATGTCCCTGGTCAATGTTTGAATGACTCTTTCCCGGATGAGCAACTATTTGTAATATCTCAATCCAAAGCACCTTGGTATGCCCATACAGTCAATTACCTGGCCGTAGGACAATTACCATTAGGGTAGACCAAAACTCAGAAAGATCATTTCTTTGCAACCATTAAGCATTATTTTTGGGAAGACCCAAACCTTTTTAGGGTGTGTGCAAACCAGATAGTTAAGAGATGTGTTCCCGACCACGAGTTTAGTAGTGTATTTGCATTTTGTCATTCTTATGCTTGTGGTGGTCATTATAGTGGCAAGAAGACCGCTTTAAAGGTCCTCCAGTGTGGTTTTTATTGACCCACTCTTTTTTCGTGATGCATTCTTTTATTGTCGTACTTGTACTTCATGTCGAAAAGTAGGGAATATTGGTGGACGAGATATGATGCCCTTGAATCTTATTTTGATTGTGGAAGTGTTTGATGTGTGGGGTATTGATTTAATGGGTCTATTTCCCTTATCTTTTGGCTTTGAATATATCTTGCTTGTAGTGGATTATGTGTCTAAATGGATAGAAGCCATTGCCATTAGGACCAATAATCATAGGGTGGTTGTCAACTTTGTTCAATCGCACATCTTTAGCCGTTTCAGTCATCTGCGTGCCATCATCAGTAATGGTGGCTCGCATTTTACCAATAGGCACTTTGGCTCACTATTGAAAAAGTACTTAATCACCCATCGAGTTGCCACACCTTATCATCCTCAAACTAGTGGACAAGTGGAACGTGCTAGTAGGGAAATTAAGACTATCTTAGAGAAAATGGTACGACCTGATCGTAAGGATTAGTCGGTGCGTCTGAATGATGCATTTTGAGCCTATCGAACCGCATATTGTACCCCTATTGGCATGTCCCCTTATCGGTTAATTTTTGGGAAAGTATGTCATTTACCTGTAGAACTTGAACATAGAGCATATTGGGCCACAAGGAAATTCAATTTTGATATGACCATGGCCGGTGACTATAGGAAACTCCAACTTTCGGAGTTAGATGAGCTAAGACACGAAGCTTATAAGAACTCTCGCATCTCTAAAGAGAAAACTAAAACTTTTCACGATAAACACATTGTTAGGAAGTCATTCTCTCCTAATCAAAAAGTGTGGCTCTTTAACTCTAAGCTTCGCCTCTTTTCGGGGAAGCTTCAGTCACGATGGGATGACCTTTTTATTGTTCTTAATGTTTTCCCTCATGGAGCTGTTGAAATCCAAAACCCAAAAAGGGGACAAGTTTTTAAGGTGAATGGACAAAGACTTAAAACTTATGTCGATGGCATTAATGATGGAGAGGTGATTGAGGAGTGTTCTTTATTAGAACCACATTAGCCATTTTAGTGCACTGAGTCTGGCTGAATACTTTAAACTTAGCGCTTATGGGAGGCAACCCACTTTTGTAAATATGTTTTTATTGCTTTTATGTTTTTGTTGTTTTTGTCTTTGTAGGAATTGCCATATTTGGAGACTCATTAACTAGTCAAAGGCTATGCTTTCGCGTGCTCCACAAACTCAGTTGGACAACCCCACCATTGTTCCTCAGGTTGTATCTCTCCACCTTATAGGTTGTTATTGTTAGATTTCTTTTTTCTCAAATATGTTGGACGAATTTAATGTTATTGATCATATTGCCATTTGAGATCATTTGATGCTAAGTTAGAGAGGATGTTTGTAGTTGTGGGTCATTGAGGACAATGACATTTTAAGTTAGGGAGTGTTGATTGATTTTTATTTTTGTGGAGTAAGTTGTTGATCATGTTTTTGTGGAGTAAGTTGTTGATCATATTTTTGTGAAGTGTTATTGATGATGCTTTTGTGGAGATTGTGATATTTTTGTGAAGTGTTGTTGATGATGCTTTTGTGGAGATTTTGATATTTTTGTGAAGTGTTGTTGATGATGCTTTTGTGGAGATTGTGTGTTGAATGGATTGTGCTTAAATTTTTGTGGCATGATGATGTTTTTTTTGTTGAAAATATGTTGAATCTTACTCTTGTAAGTCCAAAAGTGGTTAAAGTGAACTAAAGTGAGTTATTTTTAAAAATTTTCATGAATTCATGCATAATCACCATTTAGAAGCAATTGAGGTGCTAGTTGAAAGGTTTTGTGAGGTTTTTGAAAATTGTTTGTTGCAACATGGTTTTAAACGTTGAACTATTGGTTCTGCTTTGTGCTAGGTTTGTCCATAATTGTGGTTGGACACCGTTTTGTATAAATGTCATGTGTTTTAGTGTTTATGCAAGTCCCCCACATACTTTACATGCCCATGGAGCAAATTTTCATTTATTATCTTGCGTGTGTTAAAAGTGCTTAAATGTCGCTTGATGATTTGGTTTTGATTTGTAGCCTAGTTGACTCGAATGAGTACGCCCGAGGGGTGTTCTACACCTAATCCCATAAAACTATCTAGCTTGGAAGCGATTGGCCTAAAGCTTGTTACATGGGTTCTCTAGAAAGCTTAAGAAGTCATTACATAGATCATGAGCTTTATAAAAAAAAAGAATAAAGAAATAAATAGTATAAGTCTTGACTTGTAGCCTAGTTGGTTCGGGTGAGTAAGTTCGAGGAGTGTTCCACACTTAATGCCCTATAGCTATCTAGCTTGGGAGTCATTGACCTAAAGCCCGTTACATGGACCTTCTAGAAAGCTTAAGAAGTTGAAAAAAAAAAAAAGTGATGAATGAAAAGAAATTATATGTCAAACTCTTGTGTGGAAAATGAGCATTATGTTGCATGTACATAAGTTAGGGAGTTTTGCATGACATTTTAACATTGTGATATGAATATAAAATGTGTGTTTGAGAAGCTTGAATGGAGATAGACAAATCTTGACAGAAACTTTAGTTCTTTATTTAGGATTGTGTTATTTGCTTGTTATGTTCAAATTCTTCACTTTACCTTTTGATAAATGTCTTGGTTGTTGATGAATATGGTTGTGTATGGTTTTGTGAGAATGTTGAAAGAGTTCTCTTAACTTTACTCGAGGACGAGCAAAGAGTAAGTTGGGGAGTGTGTTAGAGTCATGAAAGTGACTCTATTTTGGTGATAAAAAGACCCTATGTGTGATTAAAATGAAATCATATTGAGATAATTAAAGAATTTATGAATTTATTCATGAAAATCGCATCCTAATATTTTTCTTATGAATTTAACATGTTTGGAATGATTTCTGAAATTGTATGAATTGATATTAGGTTGTGGTTTATGGATTAGAGTTGGTTTTGTCTCATTTATGCTATTCAGG